TTCTCCTTTTTTCTTATGGATTGAACCCAGGAACTTTGCATTGAGCTACATCCCTAGCACATTTTATTTTTTATTTTGAGACAGAGTCTTACAAAATCACTAAATTGCTCAGATCAGGCTTGAACTTGGGATCCTCCTGCCTCAGCCTCTCAGAGTGGTGGGATTACAGACATGTACTGCCCATTTGTGATGATCGATTTTTCTCTCTTGTTCCTTTTTGTTGTTCTTTTCAAAGATGGGGAAGAAAAATGCCTCTTCATTTCTGCTCTGTAAAATTTTTCTTTTCTTTTTTCTATTGCCATGTCCTTATTAAGATTTTAAAGGGGCTGGGGATTTAGCTCAGCGGCACAGTGTCTGCCTAGCAAGCACAATGTCGTGAGTTCAATTCCTGGTACCGGAAAAAAACAACAACAAAAAAAGATTTTAAAATATTTGTTTTATCACTTTATATATTTAAAGGAGCACATAGGATTTCAACATACGCTCAATTTATTTTGAAATAGGTTTTCATTTAGTTCTATTATTTACCTTTTTGCATTTAAGTTTAGTCGATCCATCTATTTTTTGTTTGGTTGGTTGTTTTTGGAGTGAGATTATTGAAATTATCTCCAAATAATTGCATAATTTACTTTAAATTATTAGTAGTATTTATGAAGAATTCATTTACTTACAAACTTTTTTCTCATGCATCCACATTTCCCTCAATTGTGTACTGTTTCACTAATTTAAAGAGAAGTAGGATTCAGGAACAGTTTTTCCTTATTTCACAAAAGAGGTAATTCAGTCATAAAGAAGAAGGTTGCCTTAGCTCAGGAAATCAATCAGTTGTAAAATTTAAGATTGATGCAAGTCATCCTGGTTCAGGGCCAAATTCATTTTAACTTCAATGTGGCATAACCTTGCTGCAATATTATCCAGAGCTTTGTGCCTGGATTGGAGATTTTAAAAAACAAACTAATAGCAAAAAATATTACCCATTAAGATTGATAGCTGGAATTTGATCTGGAATGTCCATACTTTTTGAGGTGATTAAAACATTATTCTGTATGAGTATGATTGTCTTAGAAGATACTTGTGTTGTTATTTTAAGGTGTGTTTTATTGTTATTAGGTTTTTAAAGTTGACTGGCACAAAAACAGATATGAGAATCAGTGGAACAGAAGAGAGGATGCAGGAACAACCCCAAGCATATTCCATCATTTGGTCTTTGACAAAGGAGCCAAAAATACACACTGGAGGAAAGATAGCCTCTTTAATATGTTGGGAAAACTGGCTATCAAATGTGGAATATTAAATCTGGACCCATATCTCTTAGCATATACTAAGCTAAAACCAAAATGGATCAGAGAACTAAATGTTAATACTTAATCTGCTGGAAGAAAAAATAGACAAAACTTTTGAAGTTATAGGCCTAGGCAAGGACTGTCTGAACAGAATGCTAGCTGCATGGGATATAATACCAAGAATCAACAAAGGAGATCATATCAGATTAAAAAGCTTCTGCACAGCAAAAGAAATCAACAGAGTGAAAAGACAGCCTATGGAATGGAAAAAAGTTTTGCCAGCTATGCCTCAGTCAGAGGACTAATATCTGCAATATATAAAGAACTAAAAAAATTAGACCCCCTAAATAAATAACTTAATCAAAAAATGGGCAAGGGAAATGAATAGACATGTCAGAGAAGTACAAATGGCCAATAAATGTATGCAGAAATACTCAGATTCTAAATGGCTCCTTTGTCAAATTAAATTAAAACACTGCTGAGATTCCATCTTAGCCCAGAAAGAATGGCCTTTATAAAAAAATTAAATAATGGCATGCTGTAGAAGCTACAGGGAAAAAGGAACCCTTCTGCATTGTTGGTGGGAATGTAAACTAGTACAACCACTATGGGAATCAGTATGGAGATTCCTCAAAAACTTAAAACTAAAAGTTCCATTTGAGCCAGTTATTTCCCTTCTACATATCTTCCCAAAAGAGTTAAAGCCATCATATTACAGTGATACAGATATACTCATGTTTATAACAGCAAAATTCATAAGAGCTAAGTTTTGAAAGTGGCCTGTATGGCCATCAGCAGATGAAGGGTAAAGAAAATGAAGTATTTACACACAATAGAGTACAACTATGCCATAAATAAAAATAAACTTGAGTCATTTATACGAAAATGGATGCACTTGAGATCATAATGTTAAGTGAAATAATATCACATAGTTTTTCTTGTATGAAAAATCCAAATTTCAAATGAAGAGCAAAATAAAAGATAGTAGGAAGTAGAGAGGTTGATCTTTCTCAAAAGGGAAGGAGAGCAAGAAATGGACGCAATGGAAAGGGAGGGGGAGGAAAAGGGGATAAAAAAAAGGAATTAAGATGTGTTATATACATGTACCAACTCCACACAAGGAATGCAAACTATACTGCAAACAGGTACTGATAAAAAATAGTAATATTATCAATCTAATTTACAAAGTAAAACTTGCAGACACTGGCTAGCTATCTTTATTCTTCTTCAGTTCTCCATTATTACACCAATGTGGAGGGGACATGCAGGGTAACATTTTATGAAGCAGGAGATTTGATTTTTTATTTTATAGTATACATGCTGGGGAATGGATAAGAAAGGGCATACTTAGAGGTTTACTTTGATGTGTATGCTTCACTGATGTTTTGTAGGTATATAGTTCTGTACCAACACATATCAGTACACCAAGTGGTTGATTCACAAATAAAATTGACAAGAGTTTGAGTTGGTAAAAAATACCTCACTTAAAAATACACTATATTAGGTTCATGCTAGAAATGGTCATTCTTGGATTTTTCTGCTTTCAGCTCTAAATTAGTTCACTTACTAGATTTGTGTTTATTAAATAATGAATAATTTATTTAAAAATGCAAGACTTTTCAGCTAGAACTACCAATTCTGAAGATTTCTGGCATTGAGCATGACCTTGTGGAAATTAACTGAAAATTCAAATTGTTTTAGCTAATGTGAAAAAATGAAAACATGATATTAAATGTCTTAATCCCAGAAAATAATTCTAAATGGTCAAGCAATTTGCTGATGCATAGCCATTTGCAGTCATATTTTAAATTTTTTCAAGTTATCTTTTCATCAGGTAAAAGCCTTATTGGCTTATCAGTTTAATAAACAATTCCAGAGTCTATGATGCTTATCCAAACTGCTTGGGTTACTTTGTTGTTATTTCTCTTACCCAGAAATAAACTCTATGCTGCGGGGATTCTCTACAAAGCTGATTTGGACTTCAGAGGAAAGCAGCTATTCTCAGGACATGTCTGGGGTAACACCCTTCCAGTTGACTTTTGAGGCAAGTTTGTTGTTCTTATAAACTACTAATGATTTGATTCTTATTTTTCTACACATCTAATAATAGAAAAGAAAAGCCTACCTCCATCACAGCCCCAAGTTGAAGTAAAATAAACATTGATTCTCAAACTTGCCTGTGTAGACAGGTTACCTAGGAGCTTCTAAAATACAGGTGTCTGTGTCCTGTTCCAATAACTTGTGATCTAATTGATCTAGGGAGTTGCTGTACTCCTAGATCTTGGGCTGCCATGACAAAATGCCATAGACCCAGTGGCTTAAACAACAGAAGTTAATTTTCTTACAGTTCTGGAGGCTAGAAGTCCAAGATCAAAGTGCCTTTAGCTTCAGGCATGTTGCTTTGTGCATTATTCCCAGATTCAGGAGGCCAGGAGCATAAGACCAGCTTGGGTAATGTAGTGAGAGCCTGTTTCAATAACAACAACAACAATGTGGCATCTGGGTTACTTTCTGGTGGGGCCTCTTCCTGGCATGCAGACTGCTGTCTTGTCATTATGCCCTTACATGGTCTTCTCTCAATGTCTGGGTGAAAAGAGGTCTCTGATGTCCTTATAAGAAGAGACACTGTAGCCCTGGCATGGTGTCACATGCCAATAATCCCAACATTCAGGAGGCCGAGGTAGG